TGTGTATCTGAATCTAGAAAACATGAAATTTTCACACAGAAGAGTCCAAAAGTGTGACATCATTAGATAGAACTATATAGCCAGGATGGCAAGACTTGAATCTCCTTTATCTAAACAGTGGCTTTTACAGTTAGTACTCACGTGAATAACTGCCTTAGTTGTTAAAACAGTGAAAGTAAGCTGCTTCTTGATATGCCAGCATCCCAAATGAGCACTGGATATGCCCTGGCTGCTCTAATTCTGACATAGCCTCCTGCTAATGTCCTGAGAAAGGCAAGAAGATGGCCCAAGTCCCTGGGCCTCTGCCTCCCATGTGGGAGACCTTGGCCATCTGGGGAGTGAACCAGTGAATGGAATCTCTCTCCCTCTTTCTGTCTCTCCCTCTCTCTCATTCAAATAAATAAATAAATCTTAAGAAAACATTGAAAGACTTCCATACAGTTAGTAAATAGCTGTTTCTTTGAGTCCTTCATTCTGAGTACTCCATTCATCCAATTCTTGCCCAGAGACTGATCCTGCCAGCAATCTTTCCCCATCATCCCCAACCGAAAGTTAGCCGGAGAGCAGGAAGCCCTCCCCACGTTGCTCTAGATCAATGGCTCATATTCTTACTGATAGTGCCTACAGCATCTCTGTTAAAGATTTCAAACTTCATTCCCATTCTTCATTGTGAAATATTGCCCCCACTGCTACCCTAACATGTGTCTAGCTTTCAATGATCTCTACCTTAAGTCTGAGAGTCTTAAAAACTTGGAATTCTTAGTCTCTCTCTTGAAGGTCCTGACCATTTTTGAACATATGAACTGCCTTTATAAAATGCTGGTATTTATTTAGGAATCAGTTTGTGTAAGGAGCTGAACTAGGTCCTCCCAAAATTCATATGTTGATACCAGAATGTGACTGTATTTAGGGGTAAAACATTTAAAGATGTCTTGAAGTTAAATGAGATGATGTAGGTGGGGCATAATCTAATATGGTGTTATCACAAGAAAGGGAGGAACAGATAGACACACACTCAGAGGGAAGATACTGTGAGGACTCACGCTGAAGATGGCCACCTGCAAATCAAGGAGAAGGGCCTCAGAAGAAACAATCTGCTAACATCTTCATTTTAGAGAAAATAATTGTTGAAGCCATGAAGTCTATGTTACTTCATATGGTAGCTCTAAAAAGCAGATACAGTACCTTTTCCTAAATTTGTCATTAGTTAATACTGTTAGAAACACTTTCTTTACAATTTTAAGTCTCTTTACCAAAGAACACGTATTTATGATGTCTTTGCATCCTAATTTAAGATGATAGCTTCAGGCCGGCGCCACGGCTCAATAAGCTAATCCTCCACCTAGCGACGCCGGCACACCGGGTTTTAGTCCCGGTCAGGGCACTGGATTCTGTCCCAGTTGCTCCTCTTCCAGGCATGTTCTCTGCTGTGGCCCAGGAGTGCAGTGGAGGATGGCCCAAGTGCTTGGGCCCTGCACCTGCATGGGAGACCAGGAGGAAGCACAAGGCTCCTGCCTTCAGATCAGCGTGGTGTGCTGGCCGCAGCGTGCCAGCCGTGGCGGCCATTGGAGGGTGAACCAACAGCAAAAAGGAAGACCTTTCTCTCTGTCTCTCTCTCTCACTATCCACTCTGCCTGTCAAAAAAAAAAAAAAAAAAAAAGATGATAGCTTCAGTCCATGCTTGCTGTTGTGGCATAATGTTTACAGTACTTCCTTTATCTCTCCATTTGGACAATAAATTGCAAGGTCACATTAACAGTATTTAATTCTTGGCTTCCTTATTTGTAATTTTTCCACACATTCTCAATCTCTTCTTTCAGAAGTTCTCGTCATTTCCTTCTTCAAACCCTGTTATTGGCTACATCCTCTGAATGCCCTTAAAATATATTCATGACATGGACCACCAGGAAATGGCACTGTCCAGTGAATGTGCACTGTGAGCAGGATATTTAACAAGTTTTTGAGAAGTTGTATGGAATGAAGACTTCAGCCCTGCCTCTGAAGACTGGAGACCCAGCATGAAATATACATAAATCACAGTCATCCCATGACTTCTTCTTTCTGTCTTACATAAACCATTATTTTATGTTCGAGTGTATTTTTGGAAAATGTTCTTAAATGCTGTTTAATCTCCCCATACAGATTCACTGCAGTGAATTTATGGCAAGTTTCAGAATATAATTAACGAATACTTCTATTCTATCCCATCTTGTCGCTGACTGTGGCGATATAATGCTTTTGGCGAGCTGACAGGAGGAGAGAAGAGAGACTCTGTTCTTAAGGAACACGTTAGTGATAAGTAAATTGGCAGTGTTTCAAATGGCACTGGGAAGCTAGTTTATGGTGCTACAAATGTGACCTTACCCAAACATCTTCACTGAATCATTGAGTCAGGCTGGAAATGCCTTCTCTTCCTTGTCTCCCATGTTAAATTTTTTTTTTTTTAAATTGCATTAGCTGCTCAGAAAAACATGAATCTACTATATCAAAACAAGCATCATATGTAAAGCTTGAAAGCTGTGACTAAATCAAGAAGGGCCAGAATACAAAAAGCCAACAAATCCCCCCTTCCTTTTATCCAGGTTTGTCCTTTATATGTTGTTGAATATCTGCATGAGGTACAGAATGGTAGGTAGGGCTCACGAGGCTGTATTTAAATCAAATAGACGGGCCAGTGCCACGGCTCATTAGGCTAATCCTCCGCCTTGCGGCACACCGGGTTCTATTCCCGGTCAGGGCGCCGGATTCTGTCCCGGTTGTTCCTCTTCCAGGCCAGCTCTCTGCTGTGGCCCGGGAGTGCAGTGGAGGATGGCCCAAGTGCTTGGGCCCTGCACCCTCATGGGAGACCAGGAGAAGCACCTGGCTCCTGGCTTCGGATCAGTGCAGTGCATCGGGCACAATGCACCGGCTGCAGCAGCCAATGGGGGGTGAACCAAATGGAAAAAGGAAGACCTTTCTCTCTCTCTCTTTCTCTCGCTGTCCACTCTGCCTGTCAAAAAAAAACAAAACAAAACAAAACAAAACAAAAACAAAAACCAACTACAAAATTTCTCATTTACAAGATGTCAATTATAGTTTCTCAAGTACAAAACATCTCCAGAAATTCCTCTGGAATGGTAGGTCAGATTCATTTGGCTAATGAGTATATAATCCAGGACTGAGTTCTCTCAGTTCCTTTTTGCAATAGCTTGTGTGGCCTCTGATAGGTGAACTCACTTTCTTGACCCTTGATTTCACTTTTAGGACAGTAGTCACATGGGCTCCCAGTGACCCCCTGGAATTTGCTGTGCACATCCACAGGGGCCAGGATCCTGGACTGCCTTGCAGATGTGTATTGATGATTCTACTTGCAAAGTTCAACTAACAGTATTTTCTTCATCTGTACACACAGAGTTGCAAAACCAGAGTTGGTGTTTCCAGCCCCAGGAGAGAGAATTTATATAGTTAGAGGAAGGTGATTAACACAGCACAGGATGGTTTCCAGTGTTAATTTTTTGTATTTTATGTCATGAGACATTCTGGCAAAGTTTTTGTTTGTTTGTTTGTTTTGGTAACATTTCCTTAGAGATTGGAGAAACCTACTTTTCTGTACTCCAAATACGTTTGAAAGGAAATGCTGTGATTTGAACTCAATGCTGTCAATCGTCTTTGCTCTAAACTAGGAACAGACTGTTAGAGTGAGAGAAGGAATGGCCAGATAGGGTCTGCTAAGAAAACTCTTTCAGTCTACCTTATTTAAAACTGTAGGAGATGTGCAATAGGGCTAAGTGAGAAGTTTTCATATCTCACAGCTTGGAAATATTTCAGAGTACCATTGGAGGTCACAGAAACCAACATAGTCAAGTACTGTTCTTAATCCATATCACTTTGAGTTTAAAAGAAAATAAATAAATGAGTATGTTGATTGAAAAATTCTGCAGACTTACATGTGTTCTAAAAGCCCTGTATCTTTTATTCACAGACTTTTTTTTTTGGACAGGCAGAGTGGACAGTGAGAGAGAGACAGATCTTCCTTTTTTCCATTGGTTAACCTCACAGTGGCCGCTGCGGCTGGCGTAATGTGGCCGGCGCACCGCACTGATCCGAAGCCAGGAGCCAGGTGCTTCTCCTGGTCTCCCATGAGGGTGCAGGGCCCAAGCACTTGGGCCATCCTCCACTGCACTCCCGGGCCATGGTAGAGAGCTGACCTGGAAGAGGAGCGACCGGGACAGAATCCGGCGCCCCGACCGGGACTAGAACCCGGTGTGCCGGCGCCGCAGGTAGAGGATTAGCCTATTGAACCACGGCGCCGGCCAACACAGACTTATTTTAAACACACACATATACACTCACAAATAAAACAGAAAACAATCTGTTTATAACTTTGAAGGCTGGTTGGGAAAACAAGAGTCTTCTCTAATTTTTTTCCAAACATGCCCTGAAACATCACTTTATGATTATCAGTGCAGATGAACAGAAATAGCACTTTCACAAGGGCATAGATATTAGCCCTGTTCTAACACCATTTGTCTTGAAGGAAGGAATATGTGTTTTTCCTAGATGGTCCATTTTTTTTCTTTAACCAATGAAAAGTTTGTATACTTTAAGATTTTCAACTCATAAGCCATAGAGGTTTTGAGGTGAGCTAAGGATAGTAAGGCCACAACCTCCCCAGGATGCAACCTTTCCTCATTCTTCAATAGGTTTTGTCTGCTCTGCTTGCCTTCATCCCTGCTGAACTTGGGTTATAATTCCCTGTCTTCTTTCAAAAGGAATAGGCTGTGAAATTGACACTAATAATAACTCTAATTTACTCATTCAAATATTGTATCCTATCCATTTTCTCTGGGCCAAGAGCTCCCTTAGTTCTCAATGACTGTGCAATGTGAAATTGAATTGACTCAGCCTCACTCCTAGCCTTGGATTTAGGGCTCTCTCCCTAGAGCAGTCCTTGACTCCAGATATCTCAGGAGAAGTAGCAAAGCTCTGTGACATGGCAACTTAGCCTTTTGACCAAAAAAAAAAAAAGATGTGACCTGTCTCTGATTTCTAAGGATGGAGAGATGGTACCCTGAGAAGGGTAATGGTGATGGTCCAAGAAGATTTTTAAGAGGGAGTTTCAGGTGGTGGGTGTTTGGCATAGGAATTATGTCCATGTCTGATATCAGAATGCCTGGGTTCAAAACCTGACTCTGCTCCTGACTCCAGCTTGCTGCTAATGCATACCCTTGGAGGCAGTGGTGATGGCTCAAGTAATTGGGCCTCAGCCACCTATATGGGAGACCTGAATGAGCTTCCAGCTTCAGCCCTGTTGCAGGATTTGGGAGTGAATATTCATTCTCTCTCTCTCTCCCTCCCATAAATAAATATATAGTTTAAAAATGAGTGATATTTATACTACTGGTACTCAAAACTTTCTGGTTACAGTTTCCCAGTAAAAGTGACTTTTTAAAAAGCTGGGCAGAGGATGTAAAGAATTTATCTTAAATGTTGTAAACTGAATGGATTCCACCTCTAGGAGTCATGACAATGTCTCTGGTATTATGGATTCTTGGAGTAGATATACCATCTAATTCCTGCGACTGCAAGCCTGCAACATCACTGTTCCATGACTTGGTTTTCTGTTCAGGTAGATCCAGAGAGTTTTCTAGAAACAGAATTGAATTAAAAGCTGAGAGCTTACCTGAAGCTGGAGGCTGCAAAATTCTGGATAGAAGTATGATTACTGGTATCTCTGTGGTTAGTGAGGGTTCTGCAGAGAAACACAACCACAGAACATTGGAAAGAGATTTATTGTAAGAAATTGGCACATGTGATTAAGAAGACTGGCAAGTCTAACTCTTCAGTGTAGACTGGCAAGCTAGAGACTCAGGAGAAGCTGTGCACAGATAAAGTCCAAAGGTCAGCAAGTGGAGATTCAGGGGAGCTGAAGGTGCACATGAAGCCTGAATGGAGTCTGCTCGCTTGGGAGGCTTCTCTTTTGGTTCTATTCAAGCCTTCAATTAAGTGATGAAACCTACCTATGGAACATAATCCACATGCTCAAAGGTCACCATTTTAAGTGTTAATTTCATCCTAAACACCCTCCAGGTTAATTAATAAGATCAACTCTGTACTTTTCATAGTTCCCAACGAGAAGCAAACCCCCAGAGACAACTAAGTGTCAGCCAGAGATTGCTCTGGTATGTATTTAGCTTTGATAGGCATCCATGGTGTAGTAGGCAATAGAGGCATGGGAACAGATCTTATGTAAGAACACACATGCTCAATGCCACTGTGAGATGCTTAGTATTTGCAGACATCCTAAGCTTCAATTTTGGCAGCAAACCTGGAAACTAGTTATTGAGGCCCAGTCTAAATACCACAGTTCATTCCTAGCTAACAGAATGACCCTGTTTTCAGATCTTGCTGTGTTCTTGGATTCTCCAACAGTTGATGAGAACATTAGACAGCAGATCTCAGTTTAAGGCTGTGAGGGTGAATTCTTGATAATGGTCACTTCAGGTCACCTTTGCAGTAGCCCACAGGAAATATTCAATTTAAGCAAATATATCAGACATGGGTTTTCTTTTATCAATCCATGCTGACTTACCTTTAATGAATTAGAGAGAAATCCATTCCACATTGCCTGGATAAAGATGTAGGGCTGATGCATAAATCTTGACTTTAAGAAGAGGTAAATTCAAACCAGAGTTAGTAGTTCATGCCTTTTGAGGCCATAACAAGGATATTAATGACTCACAGTTACGTAATTATTTGAGCCCATTTATATCTCAGGAGCCCTAAATATCACTTCTCTTGCCCTCTGGTATCCATTCAGACTCTGAGTTTGGGATATCAGTGAAATCCACTGCCTCTCATCACTGATCTGTTCAGCCTTCCTCACTGCATGTCTTTGTTGGACAGAAGTCTTTGACTTCCTTTGCTCTTTTGTTTATTTGTATTCATTTGGTAGAAGAATAACTCATTCATTGCTTCCTGAGCCAGTCTGATTGAAAAAAGAAATTCAGAACTTGTTTTCAGTCAGTTCCTTTTAAAACTGTCCCCTTTGTCTCAATTTTGCTCTCAAGAGATAGGACCATTGTGGAAATTAAATTATAATTAGGGTCAAGGACTTTGAAATAATGACCTCCAGACTGACCTCTCTGTACTCTTAAGTGTCTCCTGTCAGTGCACCCAGCATTGGGTTCTGGGCCATTTTAAACCTGTTTCCAGAATTGCCACCTGACACTTCACTGTCACACAATGCTCTGCCTTAGTAAATGCATCTGTTATATGGTACAGCGCTAAATGCTTTCCTGAACTCCAGATAAATTATGTCTGCTGATTTGGTAATGTGGCCCAAGAATTCAATTTAGGTGAATTTATCAGACATGGCCTTTCTTTTATCAATCCATGCTGACCGACCTTTAATAAATTAGAGATAAATCCATTCCGTATTGGTGGATGCACAATCTGAGTAGAAGAGTAATCGGCACCGGATCTACAAACATGCCCCTGCCTAATTTCCTGCCCTTAATGTGCTCCAGTCTGTGACAGGGCACAGAGAGGCTCATTCGAATTGCTTCAGACTCCTGAAGAGGCAAGTGCGATATGAGGCTGGAAGACACGTGGGTTTCTTTATGCCTGAGAAATGTAGGCAGTGGGAGCACAGCTTCATCATCCAAGTAGGCTTTGCGAGGCTTAGCTTCCAGATAAAGGGTCTGTGAAGCTCTTAGGCCAGTTCTTTGTCATCTCTGTGACTCAGTTTCTTAAGCTGTAAACTTAAACTGCCGAGAGAGGTGATCCCTCAGGCTGCTTTGAGATTTAATAACTTTCAGCCACAGGGAAACAAAGCAAGAAACAATTGCTTGTACTCCAAGGTCAAATTCAACTAGAATTAAGACTGGCCTGATGCTCGGGTGGAAACTGAATGGCTTCAAATTATCTTGGCCGTGATTAAATGTGTCCATTTATGAACATCAGAGAAATTTAGAATCAAGCAACGTAAAATTCTCTTATTCCAGTAACCTTAGGATAAAATTATATTTGAAAAAGGTGCCAAGGAATATTCTCTGAAATGTTGTCCTTGCAATAACCCATTTGAACTTCAATGAACTTAAGATATTTACACCTCCTGAGTTATAAGGAAAAGTCTCAGCAAACCAATACCTGGGTTTGGCAAGATTACCCACAAGAAAATGGTCCCATGGTGATATAACTTTATGATGATGTAATAGTAAATGCTACACACACACAATCTTTGAGACTTGCAGTCCCATTAAGATCCCATAAAGGATCTAAAAAGTGCTACTATAAAGGAAACTATTTGACTTTATGTATCCCAGAATTTTCAAATTTATTTGATATTGGCATCCACTTTTGTTGATTAATTGCTTGCTTTAATTTTTTCCTCATGCAATGCCTATTAAAGTCACTCAGAATTAGTATTCTACAGAGCACACTTTAGAGAATGCTAGTCTGTCCTTTCCAGAAATCTTCATGTCTCTTTGCATGCCATTGTCTTTTAAGACAGCTTTTGTTCTTTCTTTGGAGATGTGTCTATCTCTACAAGTTGTGCTCATCCTCGATACTTTAAAGACAATTTGGCTCTAATTTCCTGTGTTGGTAAGACCTATACTTTCCAAAAGTGAAAGTGTTTAGTTTAAGCTACTTTTGAGTTACCCTAGGTAGCTTTTAATATTTAAAGATGCCAGTTAAGCATGTAAATAAGAGGATAGGTAAATATATATTTATTTAAAAGCCAAGGGATCTTTAGCAAAGTTTCTCATAGCCTTGACTTCTTTGGAGAAGAAGAGAATGGCAGCAACACCCATGTGTGGTGTTGATGACATGGGAAGGAGTCTTAATGTAGTGTGTTCTGAACTAGCTGAGCAGTGAGAGAGCTGGAGGTGCTCTGGAGATGCCAGCGTGCTGGGTGCTGCATTGAGCTGGAACCATAACACGAGGTGGTGCATTGAGAAGGTGAGAGTGACTCTTGTAAGCTGGCCCTGGCATCTGCAATAATTGCTAACAGACCACATTTTTCCTCATTCCTTTCTACCCTTCCCCCAATCTCCAGCATACTAGCAGTGTACTTTATTTCTGAGTTATTAAAAATTACATCTTTCTTATATTGAATCTTGACAGTTGCCAGCTGACCTCTAATTGTTTCCAGGTCTGAGGTTTCAAATTTACTGATTTCCTTTTTGATATTTTAATCATTCTCTGTCTCCTGCTCATTCCCTCTTTTGAGGATTTGCCTTGTCTTCAGAAATTCTCAAAGCAGCTGTGAGGACCCTAGCTCCTTCTTATTGTTAAATATTTCTTGACATTCTGAAGGGAAGTGACCAACTAGGTAGATAGGCGCTACAGTCTACACATCTGTAGCTAGCTTTGAGTAATTGCTGTTAACAACAGAGCACTAGGCTCAGGAACTCCGTCCAGGATGTAGCTATGTTCATCTTCCTCCTCTAGATCCTACTCCACTTCACTGCTTTCCCTGGAACTTCTGTGATTTTTATCTAGTTCTTTAGGTGAGACTGGGGCAGTGTAGAAGAACTTAGTACTGAACCCCAAACAGGGGCACAGGATAAAATAATAAAGTATAACAGGGCACAAATGCAGTGAATTTGTTTTGAGGATTTTTGTAGGGATAGAATTGGAATTGACTATGACCTTGTCTAAACAAGATAAGAATCGGAGAACTCAGAGGGCTTCCATAGCCTTGGAAACTCATGACTGGAGCATAGGGAGATTACTGATGCCATAGACAGGAGTGTCAATTGGTAAAGTCAACAACAGGAGTCACTGTGCACTTACTCCTCATGTAGGATCTCTGTCCTTAATGTGCTGTGCATTGAGATTTAATGCTATAACGAGTACTCAAACAATATATTTCACTTTGTGTTTCTATGGGGGTGCAAACTGTTGAAATCTTTACTTAATGCATACTAAACTGATCCTCTGTAAAAAAAAAAAAAAAAAGAAAGAAAGAAAAGAAATTATCAACTCCCAACTTGACTCTCACTGGGATTAAACATGACAATAGGTCTGATCTGATTTCATCATCATTTTAAAAAAAAATCATCTATTATTTTTCACTTTATGTTTCTGTGTGGGAGCAAACTGTTGAAATCCTTACTTAATGTATACTAAGCTGATCTTCTGTATATTAAGATAATTGAAAATGAATCTTGATGTGAATGGAAGGGGAGAGGGAGTGGGAAAGGGGAGGGTTGTGGGTGGGAGGGACGGTATGTGGGGGAAGCCATTGTAATCCATAAATTGTACTTTGGAAATTTATATTCATTAAATAAAAGTTAAAAAAAAAAGAATTGGAATTGACGTGTGCATAAATGAATCCAACTCAGTGGAACTGTGCTATTTGAGACCAGATGATGTATTAGCCAGCATTCGTCTCTATAACAAATACTAGAGAAAACTACTTATGAAATAAGAAGTTTTTATCTAAAGAGTTATTTATTTAAAAGTCAGAGTTACAGAGAAGCAGAGGCAGAGAGAGGGCGCCTGTCTGCTGGTTCACTCCTCAAATGACCGCAATGGCTAGAACTGGGTGGATCCAAAGCCAGGAGCCAGGAGCTTCCTCCAAGTCTCCCACGTGGGTACAGGGGACCAAGGACTTGGGCCATCCTCTGATACCTTCCCAGGCCATAGCAGAGAGCTGGGTTGGAAGTGGAGCCGCTGGGACTTGAACCAGTGCCCATATGGGATGCTGACACTGAAAGGTGGCTGCCTTACCTGCTATACCACAGTACCAGCCCCGAAAAAAGAAATTTTATTTTGACTCATGATTTTGGAGCCTTGCCATCCAAAATTAGGCAGCCTCATTGATCTGGCATCTGATAAGGGCAGTATATGGTAGAACAGAGAAAGGATCACATGGTGAGTCAAGAGGAAAAAAGAATGGTAGCACCCAACCCAGGTCCTATTTGTAAGCAACCTTATCATGAGAATTACCCTCCAAATGCACACTGTCATTGAACCAAGGACCTCCTATGAGGCCATTGATACCATAAGCGGATCAAGGGTCCACTTTTAATCCATTAACAATTAATATTAATCCATTAACCATTAACATAAACTTTTGAGACTAAGCCTTTAACACTAAGCCTTTGAAGGGATACACAAACTATATAAAAACCATAGTACCAGAGACCTTGTCTTTTTAATGTTGTATCCTTGGTGCCTCGCATGGCTTGTGGCTAATATACCAGGCACTGAATAAATGTGGTGAATTAACAATGCATTTTCTTCTTCCTCTTTATGGCTCTGATCAATTATCAGAGTTTGAGATAAACTTAGTAAGATCTAGAAGGAACCCTCCATGCTTCTGTTTAGTGACTTTCTCATGCATAACACCAGTTATCAGTTTCCATTTTTTGGCCCAAGAATATATTACAGAAATGATATTATAGCACTTCCCTTTAAGAAGCAAGTATGAATATATACATCCATAGAATGCTTGAAGATGGAATTATCTTATTTCAACGTTAAATTCAACATTTTCATTTTACAGTGTTAAAGTGGATCCATTGGAAGTGAAATGATTTCTCCAAGGGAGTCTTGGGCTGCAGAGAGTGCACAGTGGGCACTTTATAAATAGAAATCACGTTGTGTGGGAGTGTTGTTGTTAATCCCCTGAGAACTCAAGCCTCTATATGCAGGCAGAGTAGCCTCTTTCAGCTCTGAAAAAAATCACCTAGCCAAAGTGACAGATTCTGCAAGGTGGAAATGATTTGGAGCAGAGTGAAAAATGTGAGAGACCTACAGGGGACCTTGATGGCACCTGCTTCACTTCGTTTTGTGCAGGGTTGACAAACAGCTCTTCTTCAGAACATGACAAGAGGATGGTAGGGGGTTGGAAGGGAACGTGTAGCTATATTTCTCTTAACTCATAGCAGATGCTACAGGGAATGCATTGCCTCACTGGAACACCAATTGGGGTTCAAGAGTTCTGGGAGATTGCCACAAGAATCCTAGAAACACTGATGCTGATAAATCCTTTTTTGTATGATTTACATGTATGTGTATTAACATAAGCATCATCAAAGTAATGTCAGGTCAAAAGATTTGAAAGAAGTCTTTGTAAGGTCATGTCATATACTTAAGGGGAATGCAAGATTTAACTGGGGATGTTGTTGAAGCAGGCCTTACTTAATACCATTATGAATACAACTTGTGATATTAGAAATTTGACTTATGTGACTTTATCACTACACACAAGCTAATAAGACCTAGTAAAATTCAAAATATGAGAATAAATAGAGTTTAAAGTAAGGATATGAACAACCTCTGTGGGCTCCATATTTTCTATGTCTTCTCTTTCCATTGCTATTCAAGGCCAGGACCAGGACCTGGAGAAGAAGGTTGTAATAGATGGGCTCATTGGTCCCCAGCTCTTCACACATCTTTATGTTAGAATTAAACCTCTGTATTCTTTGACTCATGATCTTCCCCTCTCCCTCTAAGGCAGGGTGGGGAACATCAGATCTGCAGACCTTATAAGGCCTATGAAATCATTTGATCTGCCTCTGATAAGGCAATTACAGTTGGAACTCGGAACCCAATAGATGGACTGCAGGCTAATTTTTAAGTTGTTAATTTTGTATGGCCCAAGGGTAATGTTGTAAATATCCAAATGACCCTTGCCCTTGGCAAGGTTCCTAACCCTTACTTAAGGAATAGTAGGTTTCTTTGCCCCCTGGTTTTGGTTTTGGTCATGTGACTTGCTCTGGACAATGTTAGAGGAAGTAGTATGAGCAGAGACTGAAATGTGTAGTTGGTTTGTCTTCTTGAACTTCTTCTATTTGCCAAGAGGGTAGGCCTCAGGTGGCTGATGGTCCCAGAAGAATAGGCAAGTGAAACAACCTGAATCCAATCCAGAGCCTACAGCCAACTCAACAAATCCACATCCTAAAGCACCCCTTTGAGCCCAGGTTAAATTGGCCAAACAGTAATTGGTCTACCAAACCCATGGAGTCCTGAGATTTTTGAGGTTGTTTGCTACACAGCAGAAACTGATGCTAAAGAGAGATGTGTGGGAACAACTTCTACAAATGCATGGAGAAAGGAGAATTCTTAACCATATGGCTGCTCAGGGTAACTAAACTTTACCACCCAAAATCCTGGACCACATGATTAGCGGAGGCTTTGTTAGGAATCCAAAGTTGGATAGAAGCTCATAGGAATGAGCAATATGGGTAGAGGTGGGCCAGAAATTTGAAAGAAAGGCAATGGGGCTTTGCAATACTTAAAGTAATCAAAATAAACAGTTGTGAAACCAGGAAAAGGCAATCTCCAACCCAGGGGTCTGTGCTGGGCTGCCTCAGCTTTGGTACATTTAATCTATCGCATTAACACAGCTTTTAGAGTAACAGTCCTTCAAAAGGATCTGGACTCGACTTCTAGTGCAGTTGCCAGGGCCTAAAACTGTCAATTAGGAAACCATTTACCCAAGTAAACCCCCTCCGCTGGCTGTCAGGTGAAAGTTATTATTCCAAACTTCATGTTGGCCCTTTCTTTACATGCGGATCCAAACCCTCCAAATCTGCTTCACCATCCAAATCACATTCCCAGAGGGTGTTTCAGAAATGAATGCCCTTTGAAACAGTGTGTGGCTGTGCAAAAGTTAGTCCTCACAGCTTTGTCTCAGAGTAGGTGTGATACAGCGGTTTGATTTGGCATGGAGCTGGGCAAACCTTTTCCACGCCTGTTTCCTTGATTTTTTTCCCTCTCTCTTAGTTCTAGTTTCTTTCTATTGGTTAAAGTAGGCTGAAAAATCTGTCTGGTCCGGTAGGCGCATTACCTTCATACTTCTCATGGAAGAGTGATAAACCCAAGGGTCATGATCCTTTCTCATCTGGGAAACATAGGACCATAGCATTTTATTGAATCACCTCCCTGAAAGGTACCACTCCCAGTGAGAAGGGAAGCTCATGCTTCCTGAGTACTTCTGCCTATGTTTTCTCGTTTAATCCCTGCAGGCCTTCTGAGTGGAGGATCCATTATTCCCAATTCAAAGAGAAAAAGAACTGAAGATAGAGAAGTGATATGATGGAGGTGAGATTCCAACATAAGCCTGTGTTACTTAAAAGCCAGTTTCCCTCCTTTTTAGACAGTGCTGTTTGGAGAGGGGATGATTCTATTGGGAAAGGTTTTTTAGGCCTATTCCCATTTTGTGATAGACTAAGTCCCTCTTCATGTAGACCTGTGTCTGAACATAGCAAACTCAGCATATTTTATCCTATCTGAAAATAGTTAAAGTATTAAAATTCCGAGGCATCATAAGTTGCCTTATACCTGCTGATCTCCTGGCCTTTGATCTTAATCTCATTCACGTTCAGTCTCCGCAAAGTGACACAGCAAGCAGAAGGATTTTGTTTGTTTTTATCAGGCTCATTTTCTTTTTGAGTTACAGGTTCATAGGTAACTTGAGAAGAAGGTTTAGGGACTTTTCATATCCTCCCTTCTCCCATATGCACAATGTCCCCCATTCTAAATGCCATTCATCAGAGTGGTACATTTGTTACTACTGGGAAATACATGTCACACCACAGCCACTCAAAGTCCCCGGTTTACAGTAAGATTCACTCTTACTGTTGCATATCCTATGGGTTTGGAAAAATGTGGAATAACATGTATACACCATTGTAGTATCACATAGACTATTCTTACTACCCTAAAAATCCTCTGAGTTCTGCCTATTATCCCTTCCTTCCAACCCATCCATCAGTGGGTAACCACTGACCTTACTTTCTCCATAGTTGTCTTAGCCAGAATGCCATATAGTTGGAACCATACTCTATGTAGCCTTTTCACATTGGCTTCTTTCATTTAGTGATATTGATAAAAGCTTTCTCCATGTCTTTTCATGGCTTGATGGTTCATTTCTTTTTATTGCTGAGTAGTATTTCATTGCTTTAAGTGCCACAGGTTATTTACCCATTCATCTACAGAAGAGAGCTTGGTTGCTCCCAAGTTTTGGCAATTATGAATACGGTTGCTATAAACATCTGTGTGTCGGATTTTCTGAAGACATAGATTTTCAAGTCCTTTTGGTTAATAAGAAGGAGTCTGATTGCTGGAGTATGTGGTAAGAGGATAGTTTTGTATGAAACTGACAAAGTTTCTTCCAAAGTACTATTTTGTATTTATACCAACCACGCAAATTTCTGTTGCTCTAGATCATCACCAGCATTTGATATTATCATGTTCTGTATTTTGGCAATTCTAATAGATGTGAAGTAGCATTTTACTCTTTAGAATTTTCATTTCCCTGATGATATATGATGTGGAGCATCTATTCATAGACTTATTTGCTATATGTGTATCTTACTTGGTAAAATGCATGTTAAGAAACTGGTAAGTTTTTTTTTAACAGGGTTGTTTTTTCTTACTGCTGAGTTTTTATTTTATTTCTATTTTTTTTTAAGTTTTGGAATACTTTAGCATATTTTTAAATTGTAAAATTCAAATTTTCAGCACCTACATTGCTTAAACCGACTGTACTAGGCTATCAGTTTTCCATTCTCTTGTCTTTTTGTTTGGAGATGACCAGTTCCTTTCTTCCAGATCTTTATACAGTATCTTGTACATTGTCATGATCTATAGTCACCTCACTGTGCTGCAAAACATCAAAACCTGTTATATTCACTCTGTGTTTTAGTACCCATTATCCAACCTTCCCCCATATCACTTCCTCCACCCTTCATAACTTCTAGTAATCACTATTTTAAAATGGAGACGGAATTTCATTGTACATGGAATATATAATATATGCAAAATATATTTTATGTATATATTTCATATACTATACGTATATATAAATTTACATGCATGATAGATAACATGCAATATTTGTCTTTCTGTGAGTGGATTATTTTGTTTAAAACAATGATCTCCAGGTCCACCCATTTTGTTGCAAATGCCTGGATTTAATTATTTTTATGGCAGAATAATATTCTACTGGAATTATACAGAAAATTTTCTTTTTTAAATTTAAGTTATGCAAATTTCATGTATTTCATATATACAGACTTAGGAACGTAGTGACACTCTCTCCCACAGCCCCCATCCATGGTCCAATCCTTCTTCCTCCTCCCGTTCACATTTCCACTCTTAATTTTTACAAGGACCAATTTTCAGTTTACTTAATGATCATATTGTTAGCCTTAACAAATAAAAGATTTCAATAAATAGTGTGAAGGAAAAAAAAAACCACTGTTCTTCAATGGAAGAGACAAAGGCTGTAAACAATCATCAAATCTCACAATGTCTGTCTACTGAATTTCAGGTACTTTATTAGTTACCTCAAATCAGGGAAAATATATGGTATCTGTCTTTTTGGCAGTGGCTTATTTCACTAAGTATGATGTTTTGCAGTTGCAACCATCTTGTCACAAAGGACAGGATTTCATTTTCTTTTTAACAGCTGAGTAGTACTCCATAGTGTATATATACCATAATTTCTTTATCCAGTCAAGAGTTGATGGATATCTGGGTTAATTTCATATCTTGCTATTGTGAATTGTGCTGCAGTAGACATGGGGTACAGGTACAGATGCTAATTCCTTGTGGCTTGGGTAAATTTCCAGAAGTGGGATGGCTGAATCATGTAGATTTCTGAGGTACCTCCATACTGTCTTCCACAGTGGATGTACCAGTTTATGTTCCACCAACAGTGGACCAGGGTACCTTTTTCCCTATATCCTTGAGAGCATTGGTTGTTTAGTGATTTATATGAGAGCCATTCTAACTGGAGTAAGATGAAACCTCACTGTGGTTTATATTTGCATTTCCTTGATGGCTAGTGATCCTAAGCATTTTCTCAAGTGTCTGTAGGCCATTTGAATTTCCTGTCTTGAAAAATGCCTGTTCAAGTCTTTGGATTACATTAGCTAATTTTGTGGAGGATTTTTGCATCTGTGTTCATCAATGATATTGGTATATAGTTCTCTTTCTGTGTAACATCTTTTTTCTGGTTTAGGAATTAAGGTGATGCAGATTTCATAGAAGGAGTTTGGGAGGATTCTCTACCTTTGAGTTGTTTTGAACAGCTTGAGAAAAATTGAAATTAGTTCTTTTTAAAGTATCTGATAGAATTCAGCAGGGAAGATGTTCAGTCCTTGGCGTTTCTTTGTTGGGAGGGTCTTTATTAGTGATTCAGTTAATAACTTGGATATTCATCTGTTTAGGTTTTTGATGTTGTCTTGACTCAGTTTTCAGAGAGTGTATATGTCTAGGAATCTATCCATTTCTTCTGGGTTTCCCAATTTGTTGTCATAGAGCTCTTTGTAATAATTCCAGATGATTATTTTTACTTCTGTGGTATATGTTGTTAAATTTCCTTTTTCAA